ATATATACAGGTCCTTCTCAAAAAAATTTGCATATTGTGATAAAGGTAATTATTTTCCATAATGTAATGATAAAAATGAAACTTTCATATATTTCAGATTCATTGCACACCAACTGAAATATTTCAGGTCTTTATATGTTTTAATACTGATGATTATGGCATACAACTCATAAAAACCCAAAATGTCTGTCCCAAAAAATTAGCATATTTCACCCAACCAATGAAAGACAAGTGTTTTTAAATACAAAAAACGCCAACTTTCAAATAATCATGTTCAGTTATGCACTCAATACTTGGTCGGGAATCCTTTTGCATGAATGACTGCTTCAGTGCGGCGTGGCATGGAGGCAATCAGCCTGTGGCACTGCTGAGGTGTTATGGAGGCCCAGGATGCTTCGATAGCAGCCTTAAGCTCATCCAGAGTGTTGGGTCTTGCGTCTCTCAACTTTCTCTTCACAGTATCCCACAGGTTCTTTATGGGGTTGTAGTAAAGGTGGAGGACAGCTTAACTGTGGACACACGGGCCACCGTTTATGTTATTTAAAACACGTATGGGCCACTGAATGTAGTATGTCAACGGACATCTTTCCTGTATCTTCACTACTAATTAATTATTTACAACGGGTTCTTTCTATTTCGAGTTAAATTAATGCCATGTGACCGAGACAACTGTGAGTATTGTTTAATCAGTGACAGGAGACGTTATTTTTCTTTGACCCATCAGAATAAATGCGGTCATTTATTTAACAGAATCAAAATTTAACATCAAAACATTGTACACTTGATTCGCTGATCTGGTTCTGATTAACAAAATTGGCACGCTTTACTAACAAGACAACCGAACATTTCTGAAGGCATCTAGATTGATTTACAAAATAGAAGAGTTTAAAGAAAGGAATGGAGAAGTTTAAAGGGAGATGGATGAAGGAAAGATTTAGGTTTTTGTTGACCAGAATTAGCACGCTTCTTTCAACACCAGCTCAAACCTCCGGTACACTTAGCGCGTGATGACTCATTACCTTCGCAGAAAATGAATCAGCTCCGGTACCGGGTCCATTTCAACGCTACCTTTCCAGCGTCTCCGGTTAAAGCGGCTGGTCATTGTCAGAAGTCGTGTGGTTTACTTCGGTAAACAGAACTAGCTCCCTTCGAGGTTGTAGGCGTTACGCCCGGGTGAGTTCACAGCAAGGCGCTGTGACTCCATCAGAGATCCCACTCAGAAGTGAAATACTCCCAGAAGACTCCATGGAAGACCCAAGAAGACTCCGGTCAAAGACTGAAGAGTCGAGAATACTTCAGAAGGCTTGAGAAGACTCAAGAGAAGACTCCGCTTCTTCCAAGACTGGTCCAAGACTGAATAGTTCCAGGAAGTGTGGACTTTTTAAAGAGTCCTCACTTCCGGTCATTTAGTACTTCCTGATTGGTTGAAACAACCAACAGGGGGTGGTTCTAGTGATGTCAGAGGGTTACTAAAAGTCAAGAGAGGGTGCAAGAATGTTTTGGATTGTTTAGTACAGACAGATAAATGTTATGGCGAAGTGAGACAAACGCAGATGCCAGTGGAAGTTATTTACCGTCTGCTAGGTTTAAAAACAATACAGTTAGTTGTAATAACTCGTTCTCTGACTGTCTCTGACTTTTGACCGACATCACTGACTTCTCATTCAGACAGAAGATCAAAATGCATAATTACTTTGTAAATAGACATTTAACTTGATTTCTAAGTCTAATGTGGTTTAAAAATCATTAATACTGTTTCACAATTGATTTAAGTGAGTGGTTTACTTTCAAAATTAGAAATGATATGAACTAAACACACTTTTGATTATCAAGATATTGTAAAATAGTAATGATAATATAAAAAGAAGAGGGTTCTTTCAATTGATTAATTCAGGATACAATTAGACAGTCTCTGGATGAGCTAATTTGTATTTCTGGATTCAAATCAATGAAATAACAGTTCCTGTCCCATGAAGGTCTACAGAGACAGGTTGAGGTTGAGGCCTAGTTCATTACAGTGTTCAGGTCAGGAGAGTTGGCAGGCCAAATTAGCACAGTAATACCATGGTCAGTAAACCATTTACCAGTGGTTTTGGCACTGTGAGCAGGTGCCAGGTCGTGCTGAAAAATGAAATCTTCATCTCCATAAAGCTTTTCAGCAGATGGAAGCATGAAGTACTCCAAAATCTCCTGATAGCTAGCTGCATTGACCCTGCCCTTGATAAAACACAGCGGACCAACACCAGCAGCTGACATGGCACCCCAGACCATCACTGACTGTGGGTGTTTCACACTGGACTTCTGGCATTTTGGTATTTCCTTCTCCCCAGTCGTCCTCCAGACTCTGGCACCTTGATTTCCGAATGACATGCAAAATTTACTTTCATCCGAAAAAAGTACTTTGGACCACTGAGCAACAGTCCAGTGCTGCTTCTCTGTAGCCCAGGTCAGGCGCTTCTGCTGCTGTTTCTGGTTCAAAAGTGGCTTGACCTGGGGAATGCGGCACCTGTAGCCCATTTCCTGCACACGCCTGTGCATGGTGGCTGTTTCTACTCCAGACTCAGTCCACTGCTTCCGCAGGTCCCCCAAGG